CACTCAGGTGTCCCCCTATAAAATATATAAGATTCTTGAAAATACTAATTTCATATCTTTTTGGTCCTGATTTTAGCCTAGCTCCTTCATTTGAGAATGAAACATCTCTATCTTATCTGGACAGGTTTTGGAAAATTGTAGAAATCTGGGACTATATGTGCTTGTATGTATGATTATGTAACATTCCATAATCTTCTAATGTATTTTTTCTAGCTGTCAACTTTATACAGAATCTCAATTGAACAGGACATGAAGTAACAAATCTTAATTTCCCCCATTAAAAACTAATGAAATGCTGATTTAATACCTAGTATTTACTTGTGTGGTTTGATAAAAATGACTTGCCAGGAAAAGTTGTTGGTCTTGAATCAGAGTTAAATATTTTTCCTACAATCTTTTGGCAAGGTTATTCGATACGGCCTCACAAATGAATTTAATAATCATATTTAATAATGTGGAACGTTTAAATGATCCTGTTTGAACTTCTTTAGTGAACATAGAGAAAAAACCTGTAATGTACATATAGAAGAGGCTACTGGACTTCTTTTTAAAAAGCTTTTAAGCTTTTAGACCTTTGAAGATAACTTAAGTAAATAGTAGTAAACTAGTGTGTTTTTCCTTTTCCTCCTCTTCGAATAACTAATCTTATTGGAGGAGTTGGAAGAGAAGGGAATAGAACGGGTATTTGTTGAATGTCAGTGATATGCTAGGAAGCACTGTGTGTTTTATATTATTTTGTACCTGTTCCTCCCCTACATTCCTATGAGATACATTATTATTCCCATATTGTAGTTGAAAACATCATGCTTGTGTATTTGTATGCATATATATTTACAGTGTGTTTCCAGTGTAATGCTTTGTGATTTGACCCTGATTTAGGTTTTCTGTTCCTGACTTACATCTGATTTTTCCTTGTGGGAAGGGACTATATAATTCATTGCAAACTTACGCACGTTTTGTATAAAGACCTCATAGGACATTGTGTGAATTTGAGTAATGATTCAGAAGCAGTTCAACTTTTTATGGTGCCAAGTATTAAAAAAAGGTCTCATTTTTAAGTCAGTCAAGGGTTTAAATGCTATTAAAATCGAGCTTATAAATATGAATTTAAGCAGTTATCTTATTTTGCTAAATTATCGATAAGACCAAGAAGTTTAAATATGTTAACTTCTGCTAAACAGTAATTAAGGAAAAAAACCCTGAAACTTAAAACTCCAATTTTATACAAGTTCATCCTTCATGCTGTTACTAGAGTTATTTTTTTCTGAAATACTGATTTCACCATGCTGTTCTGGTTAAAATCCTTTCAGGATTCCCTGTTGCTTACAGGTTCCAAGTTCAGATCCCACAGTCTGGCTCCAAATAAATACCCTTTTTTTGAATATCACCTTTTGGTTCTCCCTTCACCCTTTGCCAGGAATACTCTCTTCCACTTTCCTTTTTTCTTTCACCTTTTCCTTCTACAGTTGCCTTATTACAGATCCTGAAAGATGCAGCTGGTATTATCTGCTCTTTTGAGCTTTCAGTGACTGCTCCACAGAGGGAATGCATCTTTCCATTGTGTTCCTATAATAGTTTTAATTATTATTTTAATCCCTTTAAATTCTTGTTCTTTAGACTCTGAGCTCTTTTGGGCTAGGAATTGTCTTAATCTTATCTTTTTTTTTTCTCACCATCTATCAGTCTGCTTCATCCCTCTTTATCTTCCCTTTCCCTATTTTTTCTTTCTTTTTTCAACAAATATTTATAGAGAATCTACTAAATGCTTCCTTTGTTCAAGGAACTAACTCTGTTTATTGAATGGATGGGAAGAAATACGAGATCTGGGAAGACATTACTATTAGTCTGTTGTTTTAACCTTTTTCAGCATGAAGATAATAGGCTCTTGCCATCTAATGTAGGAACAGCCTATCAATTTCACAAACTAGTGAGGAATGTTTGGATAGAAGTATTAAGGGAAAACACAAATAATAGTTATTTTAGTGTTGTGTATTTGGACTCCAATCATATTCAGCATTGCAATCTGTCCTTGGCTTTGCTCTGTCAGCCAGAGACATGACCTTTGACTGTTGCTTGCAGCCATGGAAAAAACCACATGCATATTTATTTGCCTATCCAGAATAACAGCTAATAGAGCCAAATAGGGGAGTAATTTTGTTATTGCTTGCCATTGGAGTTGGCATCTGGTAAAAGTAGGTGTATGTTTGGAGTAGTATTTAGATGAAAATGTATTGTTTCTAAAATTCTTTACTGAACAATAATAATAGATAGTTTTTATAGAGCAGGTACCCTCTAACAACTTAATGGTCCTATGAGGTAAATGGTAGTATTCCCATTGATGGACAAAGAAACAAAAGCTCAGAGATAGCAAGTGACTTGCCTGAGGATACATAGCTAGTTAAGCAGCAAAATTAAGATTCAAGCTTAGGTCTTTCTGGTTGAGACCATGCCCATTTCCTTATGCTGCTGTCCTTCCCTTGAATCCTCATTCTCAGAATCATCTCCAAGATGGAGTGAATTTACCATGGTAATTGGAATTTGAGATATCAAATTACTGAATTATTTGATCTTTAGCAAGTTATTTAATCTTTCTTACCCCATTTTCTCACATGAATAATGTCTGCCTCCCAGGATTATAATGAGGACTAAATGAGGTAATGTATGTGAAAAGGTATTGTGAACCATAAAGCCCTATGCTAATGTTTGGTGGTATATTATTAATGCTGTCATTATTACATGCTTTAACATATTAATTTTACTTCCCAAATATTTCTTTCCAATTGTCCTTTTAAACTTAGATGTTTGGCAGCTTTTAAAGTACCATAGTGACTGTGTTTCATTAATAAGAAAAGTTATTTCTTTAGGTGTAAAAAATTCAGATAGTCTTAAGGTAAAAGACATTAGAACAATAGAGTTTTAACTGTTTGAAGAACTAGTATGCTTAACTATTTAAAACTTTCTTTCTCCTAGTTCCTTCTACACCACAAATTCTTACTGTGTTTTCTCTTTGAATTATTATCTAAATAAAGGTTGAAAGTTTATGATGGCTTATTTCCAGTAATTGATATTAATGGCTGTCTTCAGTACATTTGGTCAGAACTTTATTTTTCAACCAAACACTGTAAGCCCACTGGAGAACTCTAGTTCTTTTGTGAATGCAGCTGGAACTTGTGTTTTAATGAGGTTTTTAGCTAGATTGTGTCAATTACTTCCATACACATAATGCTTTTTACATAAGGAAGGTAACTGTTCCCTTTTCTTGAAATCCTTGAGTAGTTTAAACCCTTGACAAAAAAAAGGTGCTGTTTCTTTTCTACTACATAAAAATTGAAGAGATTCAGAGTGCTTCATTGTAGTGAGTCAGTGATGGACTACAGAATTGCACTAAACTTCAAAATGTGCTTTGTCTGACTGATATAAATGATTCTTAATAGCTTCTACTGAAATGGTAGATCTTACAATAAAAAGTTATGGAGCAGTCTTGAATGTACAATATAGGGTACCAACTATGGTGAACATCTGAAATGTTTTTGTTATGAAATCATTCTTTGGTGATTTATGATTTTTTTTGTTAGTACTTATAGTAGTAATATATATTTTCCCTTTATGATAACCAACTTTGTGGTATGGCTCAGTTTGGTTCCAAAACATTAATGTTTTTTTCCAAACTGTTATATTAGCCAGAAAGTGAGATAATGCATCTTGTAAATGGCCTCTTTTTTAAAAATAGTATTTTCTTCTTCATTCATGCATTCATTTAGACAACAGTTACATTATTTTCAGTTGTACAACATAGTGATTCAGCTTCTCTATCCATTATGCCATGCTTATCACAAGTTATAGCTATCATCTGTCATCATACAGTGCTATTAAAATATCATTTATAATATTCCTTATAACTGGAAGCCTGTATCTTCCATTCCCTTTCACACATTTTGCCCATGCCTCCACACACCTCCTCTCCCTTCAGGCAACCATCCATTTGTTCTCTGTATTTATAGGGTCTGATTCTGCTTTTTGTTTGTTTATTCATTTGTTTCTTAGATTCTGTATATAAGTGAAATCATGTGGTATTTCTCTTTATCTCACTGATTTCACTTAGCATAATGCTCTCTAGGCTCATCCATGTTATTGCAAATTGTGTGATCTCATCCTTTTTTATGGCTGTGTAATATTCCATAGAATTACTGCCTTTACTTTCTCCTAGGAGTTTTATGGTTTCAGGTCTCAATGAATGGCCTCTTTTTAAACTAGCTAACCTATTGTTTAAAATGAAAAATGTGTGCTATTCCTCCTCATAAACACTGTGTGGCTTTGGAGTTAGATTTGGTTTCAGATTTCAACAATAGAAAAAAAGATGTTAAAGCATTGGACAATAAGTTAACAGATTTGCATGTCAGTATGTCTTTTCTATGCCAATGATGCTTCTCTCTCAGTGCAGTTTAGAAAATGAGATGAGCTAATGTATGAACATAGCTCCTAAATAACAGTGCTAAATGAATAATATTTTAATAGTTGCTCATTTGTGGAAATATGCATATAAAAATTTAAGTGCTTGAGTTTTTTTCTTAAAGATTTTATTTATTTATTTGAGGGAGAGAACATAAGCAGGGAGAGTGACAGAGGGAGGGGGAGAAGCAAGCTCTCCACCCATCAGGGAAACTGACATGGAACTCCATCTGAGGACCCTGGGACCATGATCTGAGTCAAAGGCAGATGTCCAACCGACTGAACCACCCAGATGCCCCTAAGTGCTTGATTTAAAAAATATATCTCTTCCACATAATAAAAATTTTAGTATAAGTTGTATTCTTTTAACAAATATCCAGTGGTATAATAGTATAAATGTTACAGTTTTGAATACGAGGATAAGCCTCCTCTTTTGTTAAACTTTTTTATACAGTGATGTCATGCATTGAACTATTTGTGTAATGTTCATATATTTTCATATATATGTATTTTTTCTACATTCTAAGTGATATAGGCGTGTGTTTTTATAGGTTTGCCTGAGTCCATCATTGCAGCTGCATGTTCAAGAAGTGGCCAGAGGGTTCTGCATGTTGATTCGTAAGTTTATCAGTGGTAGCATTTAATAGTTTGTAAATATCTGTATACAAAATTGCAATTTCAATACACACAAGTCTATATATGTCATGTATAAACTAAGAAAAATGTATTTTCACTGAAAATATGTGAAATATATAAAATACAAGTTGTACATTTATACTCTGTGAAATAGTGATGTTTTTTTTAAGAATTAACTAAATATAGCATAATTTTTTTCTCATTAGTGACTTTGTTTTTTAAGTGATAATTATCCAAGAAACTTGGAAACTTCACACTTGCTTTCTTACATAAGTGCGAGGGTGTACACAATCTGTATGTGTTATTGTATTTTGGGCTTCATATTTTCTTTGTTATTCAAGTATATTTGACCTACAACATTATCTTAGTTTCAGGTGTATGACATAATGATTGGAAACTTTTATGCATTGGGAAGTATCCCCACAATAAGTCTAGTTACTATCTGTTACCAAAATTAAGACATTATATTTTCTTGTGATGGGAACTTTTAAGATTTACTTTCTTAGTCTTTGAAATTTGCAATACAGCATTACTGATTATAGTCATCATGCTGTACATTACATCCTCATGACTTATTTTATAATTGGAAGTTTGTGCCTCTTGATTCCCTTATTTTACACCCCTCCCCAAACTTCCACCCCTCAGCAACCAATACTCTTTTTTCTTGCCTAATTCCTCTGGCTAGGACTTCAATACTATGTTGAATAAAAGTGGCAATAGTGAACATTCTTGTCTTGTTCTTGATGTTAAAGGACAAGATTTTAGGTTTTCACCTGAGTATGATTTTTGCTGTGGGCTTGTCACATAAGACCTTTGTTGTTTTGAGGTATATTCTGTATATATCCAACTTGTTGGGAGTTCTGTAATCATAAATGGAGGTTAATTTCACCAAATAATTTTTCTACATCTTTTGAGATATTTATATTTTTATGCTTCATAATGTTAATACGTGTATCATTTTAATTGATTTGTGGATGTTGAACCATCCTTATACTTCTGGAAGTCCCACTTGATCATGGTATACTACCATGTTAATGTATTGTTGAATTTGGTTTGCTCTTATTTTGTTGAGGATTTTTGTGTCTATGTTCATCAGGAATACTGGTCCATAATTTCTTTTTTCTTCTCTCTTCTCTTTTCTTTGCTTCTCATGGTAGATCCTTGACTGATTTTGGTATAAGGGTGATTGTGATCTCATAAAATGAGTTTGCCAGCTTTCTCCTATTTAAGTTTTTGGAAGAGTTGGAGAATGATAGGTCGTTCTCTTTGAATTTTGGTAGGATTCATCTGTGAAGTCATCTGTTTTGGGGGTTTTGTTTGTTGGGATTTTTTTTTATTTTAATCTGATTCAATCTCTTTATTAGAAATTGATTTGTTCAAGGGATGTCTGGGTGGCTCAGTGGTTGAGTGTCTGCCTTTGGCTCAGGGCGTGATCCCGGAACCTGGGGATCCAGTCCTGCATTGGGGCTCCCTGAGAGGATCCTGCTTCTCCCTCTGCCTGTGTCTGCCTCTCTCTCTATAGCTCATGAATAAATAAATAAAATCTTAAAAAGAAAGAAATTGGCCTATTCAGATTTTCTATTTATTTATGGTTCAGTTTTGGAAGATTGTAAGTTTCTAGGAATTTATCCATTTATTCTATGTTGTCCAATATCTTAATTTTTATAGCAGTTTCATATATGTAGTGGTATATAATTTTTCTTAGTAGTTTCTTATCCTTTTTATTTCTGTGGTATCTAGGTGTAACTTCTCTTCCACTCCTGATTTAATTTATTTGAGCTTACTTTTTTCCTTAGTGAATCTTTAAATGTTTGCCAGTTTTGTTTACCTTTTTAAAGAACCTGCTCTTTGTTTCACTTATCTTTTCTGTTGTCCTTTTAGTTTCTATTTCATTTATTTCTGCTCTGATCTTTTTATTTTTTAAAAAGATTTTATTTATTTATTCATGAGAGACACAGAGGCAGAGACATAGGCAGAGGGAGAAGCAGGCTCCCTGTGGGGAGCACAATTTGGGACTCGATCCTAAAACTCTGGGATTTTGTCCTGAGCTGAAGGCAGATGTTCAACCACTGAGCCAGCCAGGCGTCCCCCTGCTTTGATCTTTATTATTTTCATCTTTCTACTAACTTTGAGTTTTTTTTTTTTCCTAGTTCCTTTAGTTGCAATGTTAGATTGTTCGAGATTTTTCTTGTTCCTTTAGGTAGGCCTATATCTGTATAAATTTTTTTCATAGAACAGCTTGCTACAACCCATAGATTTTGGTATATTTCTATTTTCATTTGTCTCAATGTATTCTTTTTTTTTTTTTACTATTTTTAAAATTTAAATTCAACTTAATTAACATGTAGTGTATTATTAGTTTCAGAGGTAGAATTTAATGATTCATTAGTTGCATAACACCCAAGTGCTCATTCCATCAAGTGCCATTCTTAATGCTCATCACCCAGTTACCCCATCCCCACACCCATCTCCCCTCCAGCAACCCTCTGTTTGTTTCCTATAGTTAGGAGTCTCTTATGGCTTGTCTCCTTCTCTGTTTTCTTCCTATTTTTCCTTCCCTTCTCCTGTATTTATCTGTTTTGTTTCTTAAATTCCACATTTGAGTGAAATCCCATGATATTTGTCTTTCTCAGACTTACTTGGTTGAGTATAATACCCTCTAGTTATATCCACATCATTGCAAATGGCAAGATTCATTCTTTTTGATGGCTGAGTAATATTGCCATTGTATATATGTACCACCTGTTAATTATGCATTCATCTATTGATGGACATCTGGTCTCTTTCCATATTTTGGCTTCTGTGGTGAAAAATGCTGTCATAAACCTTGGGGTGCATGTGTGCCTTCAAATAACTGTTTGTGTCCTTTGGATAAATACCTAATAGTGTAGTTGCTGTGTTGTAGGGTAGTTCTAGTTTTAACTTTAGTATGGAGAGTAACTTCCATACTCTGGTCTTCCAGAATGCCTGCACCAGTTCACATTCCCACCAACAGTGTAAGATGGTTCCCCTTTTTCTGGATCCTCTCCAACATTTGTTGTTCCCTGAGTTGTAAATTTTAGCCATTCTGACTGATACAAGATGGTATCTCATTGTGGTTTTTTTTTTTCTGCATTATCTCCCTTTTATATCATGTCAGTATTAGATGCTAAAGGCAGGCAAAATGCAAAGCTGTTTTTTTAAAATAATTTATTATTTATTGGTGTTCAATTTGCCAACATACAGAATAACACCCAGTGCTCATCCCATCAAGTGCCCCCCTCAGTGCGCGTCACCCATTCACCCCCATTCCTCCCCCTCCTCCCCTTCCACCACCCCTAGTTCGTTTTCCAGAGTTAGGAGTCTTTATGTTCTGTCTCCCTTCTGATATTTCCCACACATTTCTTATCCCTTTCCTTATATTCCCTTTCACTATTATTTATATTCCCCAAATGAATGAGAACATACACTGTTTGTCCTTCTCCGATTGACTTATTCACTCAGCATAATACCCTCCAGTTCCATCCACGTTGAAGCAAATGGTGGGTATTTGTCATTTCTAATGGCTGAGTAATATTCCATTATATACAGAGACCACAACTTCTTTATCCATTCATCGTTCGATGGACACCGAGGCTCCTTCCACAATTTGGCTATTGTGGCCATTGCTGCTACAAACATCAGGGTGCAGGTGTCCCGGCGTTTCGTTGCATCTGAATCTTTGGGGTAAATCCCTAACAGTGCAATTGCTGGGTCGTAGGGCAGGTCTATTTTTAACTCTTTGAGGAACCTCCACACAGTTTTCCAGAGTGGCTGCACCAGTTCACATTCCCACCAACAGTGTAAGAGGGTTCCGTTTTCTCCGCATCCTCTCCAACATTTGTGGTTTCCTACCATGTTAATTTTCCTCATTCTCACTGGTGTGAGGTGGTATCTCATTGTGGTTTTGATTTGTATTTCCCTGATGGCAAGGGATGCAGAGCATTTTGTCATGTGCATGTTGGCAATGTGTATGTCTTCCTCTGTGAGATTTCTGTTCATGTCTTTTGCCCATTTCAGGATTGGATTGTTTGTTTCTTTGCTGTTGAATTTCATAAGTTCTTTATAGATCTTGGAAACTAGCCCTTTATCTGATATGTTATTTGCAAATATCTTCTCCCATTCTGTAGGTTGTCTTTTAGTTTTGTTGACTGTATCCTTTGCTGTGCAAAAGCTTCTTATCTTGATGAAGTCCCAATAATTCATTTTTGCTTTTGTTTCTTTTGCCTTTGTGGATGTATCTTGCAAGAAGTTACTGTGGCTGAGTTCAAGAAGGGTGTTGCCTGTGTTCTCCTCTAGGATTTTGATGGAATCTTGTCTCCCATTTAGATCTTTCATCCATTTTGAGTTTATCTTTGTGTATGGTGCAAGAGAGTGGTCTAGTTTCATTCCTCTGCATGTGGATGTCCAATTTTACCAGCACCATTTATTGAAGAGACTTTCTTCCAGTGGATAGTCTTTCCTCCTTTATCGAATATTAGTTGACCATAAAGTTCAGGGTCCACTTCTGGGTTCTCTATTCTGTTCCATTGTTCTATGTGTCTGTTTTTGTGCCAGTACCACACTGTCTTGATGACCACAGCTTTGTAATACAACCTGAAATCTGGCATTGTAATGCCCCCAGCTGTGGTTTTCTTTTTTAATATTCCCCTGGCTATTCAGGGTCTTTTCTGATTCCACACAAATCTTAAAATAATTTGTTCCAACTCTCTGAAGAAAGTCCATGGTATTTTGATAGGGATTGCATTGACATGTAAATTGCCCTGGGTAACATTGACATTTTCACAATATTAATTCTGCCAATCCATGAGCATGGAATATTTTTCCATCTCTTTGTGTCTTTCTCAATTTCTTTCAGAAGTGTTCTATAGTTTTTAGGGTATAGATCCTTCACCTCTTTGGTTAGGTTTATTCCTAGGTATTTTATGCTTTTGGGTGCAATTGTAAATGGGATTGACTCCTTC